TTATGTAAAGGTACAATTCCCAATGAGAAATGTAATTGTGTTGTATACCTACAATGTACCAATAAAAGAATTTAATACAAAAAAAAAAGAAAGCACATGTGTCAGAGCCATTTAAAAACCATGGGCCAACAGAGGAGGGAAGAGAGAATTAGAATGTTTATTTCTAAGAAAAACCTAGCTATAATTCAGTTTCCACTGTAGTAGTCATTTTACCTACCATTAGCTTGTCCTTTTGTCTATAGCATCTCCTACTCACAAATACTTTGTTTTCCACTATGAGTCTCTATAGTCTAAGAGAAGGAAGCTTCAAATACCTCTTTTTCTTGAGTCTCCAGTATAAGCTCTGGCTTTGACCAGTTAACATGGCTATGACCTGTGAGGATAAACATGAAGGTGACCATAAAACTCATGAATACTAAAAGAAAGTATTTATCATGATCTTGATGTGGACATAAACACTAACTATATTAGATTGTTTCTTTCTCAAAAATGGCCCATGGCTCCTCATGGCCCAGGAGATAAAAGTCAAAATATAACATTCCACCAAAACACTCTGTAATGGGGCTCTAGCCCTCTTCTCAACCCTCATAAATCTCTTTTGTCTATTCTCTTTTCTAATCACCAAAGTGAAAAGAGCAAATATGCTTTACACATAACACCTTTACCCTTTTTCCCACCTCATTTTGCCTTTCCAGAATTCTTGTTTGCTATCTCTCTATAAGGGAGATAGTGTCATGGCATCCTTTCAATTTATACTGTAGTTACAGAGCACCTAATGTGTGCCAAATGCTGGGCATATAACAGAAAAGAAAAGATAGAATCCCTGTAGTACAGGAGTTCACAGGCTAATTGAGGATACAACACATGAAAATGCAGGGCTCTTCTATAAGGCAGAAGGCCTGTGGCTTGTCTTGTTTCCATTCTTGTGATTTAACGTATACATGTCCAGTTGCTTCCCTAAAGATTATAAATACCTAGAGGACAGTGCCACTGCCAAGCTAAGCCTTTGAGCCTGTATAGACAATTCTCCTCCATAGACAGTAGAGGGCAGTGGTGACCAGGGTCTTTTTCTTGGGCATGGGGTAGGGGTGAGAATGCACTTGGGAATGGCTTGGGCGGTGGTCCTTGACATCACACTAAGTCAGCCCCTTCATGGACTCTGGTTTGGTAGTCAAGGTTCTCCCAAGGATTCTGTTGGTCTTTGGTGAGATTCTTGGGTGGAGAATGGGTCCAGTGCTCTCCCCCATTCCACACTAAACAACAATTCCTGCCTAACATCCTGAGACACATTAAAATGCTCCTCTCTGTCCCACTCTTTCATTTTTTGACTGGTATCCAGTGGCCATGTTTGGCCTTTGTTCATTTTCTATGGAAATTTCTAACCTGATTCCTCTTTCTTTTCTAGAACATGTCTATGAAGTTAACAGGTAAGATAGCCTCTGCTTTTCTATTTTACAACCCCTTCCTTACTCTCAATTCTGTTGGTCATTGGCAGGAAACATAGAGGAAGGGATATGGCATAAAGCTTGACTTAAGGCCAGAAGCCTTCAGTATTAAAACACAGCTTTCTATACTTTCTGAAGCACATTCTGAACTTCTGTCCTGGTCTACTGAACACACAGGATAATTTAAATCTATCACCCATCTGCTTCCCAAATTCTTGGGTGGCAAGACCCTGAGCATTAGGTGGTAAGAATTTAGAAAAATGGGGAATAGGGGTTTAATTCTCTATTCTTTTCTCATGGGTTGTGGGCTCTTGGGCTATAGGGTGCATGCCAGAGAAGGCAGTAACTCTGAAGAAACCATGAGAGTGGCCATCTTCACAACTGTCTGCTCCAGTGACAAGCAAGCTTCGCTAGCTCTGGGCAATGACTACTCTGATGAATCCTGAATCCTGAATACTGAATGGTCCAGGAGTACCAGATCATCACCTAGATCAACAGTGACTGCACCTATTTGCTGCAAACCATACCCTCAGATAATGATCTTCTGGCCACTGAGGTCAGGAGTGTCTGTTAAAATGTTTCACTAGGTCAAGTTCTGCTAACATAATTGCCTATTCAGTTCCTGCCTTTGGTATGGCCTCTTTCGTTGCTGATTCTCTTCCTGAATAGCCCAAAGTGTCTGCCCTGCCAATATTGGAGCCCCTGAAAGTGACTGGCTTTGCCTAAGAATTTTCCATATGCACCTCAAGCAAGCCAGCTTCTGGGTTTTGTCCTGGGTCCTTCTAGTATCTCCACCTGGGACTTCAACTGTTCTTTTTCAAACACCAGAGAAATGTCCAGAGCAGTAGGGCTTGATCATCATACTTCTATGTACCACCAGAAGAGCAGAGGAGGCTAAACTCTGCTAGTTCAAGAGACCAACTATGTGCAGAATCACTTCTTTTTATCCAGGGCCAACCACTTTTATCTGACATTGTCATGTCACAAGCTGGAATTTTGTTCTGCTCTGTATTGTGAATCTAGTGTTCTAGTATTCTTTCAGTGCTCAATAAACATCTCATCATGATAGCAATCTCAGTTGTCTTGGTCTCCTCTCAGGTATAGTAGAACATACTAAGCATAATTAAAATGAGACTGGTTAATACAGAAGTATGGATCTTTCCTTTGCATTTTTGGTCTTTCTCCTTCCCACCAATGCTGTCCCTATCTCACTCCACGGGTAGCACCAGCTGAAGTACAATGAATTATTGGTTAAACAGTATGCTACTGGTTTCCATTCCATTCTCCATCATTCTGCCAGCTCCACCCAGATGATGCTTCCCAGGTCAACTGGAAGCCTGACAAGAAGAAATACCTACTTCTATCTCAGGAGACTTTGGGTACAGAGATGAAAGGATTCCTTCCTTTCCAAAATATGTATATACCATCCCTACGGATTTGCACTTCTTTAAATCACTGGGGTAATTTCATTATTCATAGGTCATCTTCTCTAGCTTCTGACCCCTTCATACAATGTGAAGTCTTTCTCCTCAAGCAGAGGCTAAGAGTCAGTGCATGTGTGTGTGTGTGTGTGTGTGTGTGTGTGTGTGATCAAGCTTCTCTATAAGTCCACTGCTTCTTTTCCCCCCATGTAATTCATGTTAAATCAATTTTCTTACTCATCATGGAAATTGCCATGTTGTCACTTCTGGTTAGTGCAGCCACAGGGTCAGGTCATGTTTGTCTAAGATCTGTCTCTTTTAGGGATGATTACAGAAGTCAAAATAGTACATGGAAGAGAACAAACAGGAGCCCTCCACTTCTCCATCCTTCAACTTGCTAAGTCCATGGTCAAAACATCAGCATTTTCCACATCCCTAGATATCAGCTTCAAATAGTTTATGAAAGGAGAAAATTTTTTCCTTCCTAGTCATGCTTGCAAGCCTGTGAAACAGGAATCACACCCAGTGGAAACCCCAGCTTCCTTCATGAAACAACTCTGTGTCTATACCCCACAGCCTTTGAAAACATCACTAACTTTTTCTACTATCCTTACAAAAAGGAATTCCTGGGGTTGAGGAGAAGATTTTGGTTGCATTTCCACTGATGATATGAGTCATAAATTCAGGGACTCCCCCAATCCATAAGAAGTCTAGACCTCCAGGGATATCTCAGAGTCTTTCATCTTAAAGACCTTAGAGAGTGTAGATCCTAATACTCCCATATTGCAGATAAAGAAATGAAGCTCAGAGAGAAAGGGTGACGTATAACTCAAAGTAAAGTAGTAGCAAAAAGCTTCTGGATAGCTACACAAAAGTGGATTGCTAACATGGGTCCTGTCTTAGTGGATGACTGTTCAGGGGAAAGTAGAGATGTTAAAAAAGGACGGGGGCGGGGGGAGAGATTTCCAGAAGAAAGGGAAGCTAAAAAATTTCTCTAAGAAATTTTTCCAATTTTTGTTCCATGGAATATTAGACCCAGGTGATAGCCCACGGGGAAAATTCCTATGGTCATATAAGCATGGAAATGCTTCATTCTATAGCTCTATCCTGGAGATTTCCAATGCAACATTAAAATATTAAAGGTTCTAAAATCCTGCAATAAAATACTTGTACAACTTCCCATAATCAATTCCAAAATTCATTTGCTCTCTGAGACTATATTTTGTACTCCTCCTTCACCCCTTGGCCTTAATTTTCAAGAAAAAAAACCTTGCATGTTGGCTACTATGTCTTACACCCTATAGCATTGTGGGATCCAAAGTTTGATGTTTTCAGTGTATGTCTGTAATACATAATAGTTTTGCTTGTTTTGGGGACTTGGCACATGAATACAACATGTTTTGATCATTTTTGATCCCTTTACCCCCACTTCCCTCACCTCTCCCTTGAAGTTTCGTTGTTTTCACAAAATCTTGGGTGACATTAGGCCCAAAGACTCAAAGCTAGTGAATAAATGGAAAATAAATCAAGGCCAAAGCTAATGAAATAAATCATTCACTAAACATTTATTGATTATTTTGTTAAATTATAATAATGGGCTATGGTAAGGGAGGCAGCAATCAAGTAAAGAGTTTTATCTTCTAGAAGCTCACATGTAATGGAGAATTCAAAAATATCACCCGGAAAAATATCAACAACAATCCAAAAGTTTATATTGGTTGGTAGAAAATATAGTAGTAATACATACCAGGACCTAGGCAAGGAGTGTTTTGTGAATGAAGAAAGAAAAAGCATAGGTTAACTGTCAAAAGTCCCCAGAGAGACTGAACTTTGCTAGGACCAGGAAATATGGAGAAGAATTGGACAGGTATGGAGAAATGGAGATGTTCTGAGAAGGAGAAAAGGAAAGAGGAAAAGGGAAAAGATGGGCAAGGGCAAGGTTTGCTTAGAAGGTAAGAATGAGTGACAACAAAGTGTATTTCTGTGTCCTGCTTTGTCACATAAGTGATGATACTTGTTTATGGATTATGGTGTCCTTACTATGAGACTGGAAGGGGAATGTGAAGAAAGAATCAAACAAAATGCAAGAGTACTTATGGTCCCATATCCTTATTCCTTTTCAAGATTATTGTGTGCTTCTCAGCATTCTTACAATGTGTGTAGATACAACCCAAGGCTGGAGCTCAGAGAACTGCCTCCCTCCCTCCAACCCACTCCATGCAATGCCTTGCTTCCCTCAAAATCACAGAAATACAACTTGGAAAAGTTTGGCTTTGGGTGAACATTCTTATATCCAGCTGCAGTCTATTTCTTGCATCCCATCTGCCCCAATTTGGAGCTGCTAGGCATGTGCCGCACTTGGGGTATTTGACAAACTGACACTCTACCACATGGAGTGTCCAACTCAGCTTGTCAAATACACGGAGTGTGGCACTGCAGGACATCAGGTCAAGGGCTTCTGTGGGATGATGAGATTTTCCTGAAAGATGTGATCCTGGAAGGAAAGAAAGGAATCAGTGGTGAAGTCACACTGTGAGCCTCAGAGAACCTGAAGAGTTTAAAAGGAGCACCTAAAACACTGGGACAGGGAAGTAAACAAAATAGGCATTAGGCCCCTAATCAGAAGAGGAATCCTAAGTGATCATCTGGAGTTCTTCTGACCTAAGTACTATAGCTATAGCATTTTCAGGGATTCCAAGGCTCCGTGGGTTCTTCTATGCAGCAGAGAGGTAATAATTTGGTCATCATTCTTCCCCATGATTTGTAGAAAGGATCGGACTCCAGAGTCAGTATCCTTGCCCTCCTCTTCTTCCCAATTCTCCCAAACTGTGTTCTCACAGTGTTGTGGTCATGCACCACAGACTTTTAAGTTAAATATGGACTTGAATCCTAGCTCTGCCCTTAAATAGCTGGTAACATTAGATGAATTATTTCACCTCTGTGAGCTCTAGTTTTCCACAGCAACAAAATATGTATAAGGACCTAGGTGTGGTGCTATAATCCTAGCACTTCTGGAAGGTTGAAACAGGAAGATCACAAGTTTTATCCCAGCCTAGAAAACTTAGCAACTTAGTGAGACACTGGCTCAAAATTTTTAAAAAGGACTAGAGATGTAGCTCAGTAGAAAGGCCCTGGATTCAATCCCCAGTGCCACAAAAATGTGTATAATAATAATGACCTCATAAATTTTTTGTGAGAATGACATGAGATAAAACATGTAAGTCCTTAGTTTATTATTTGATATACCACAAATGCTAAAAAAATGATGGCTGTGCCAGCAGAAGTAAAACAAGAGCTATTGGAATTTGACTTAACAGAATTGGGATTGAAGTGACAGCAATTTCTTATGGCCTCATCCCTTTCTAACATGATCTCCTTATTTCATAAGGATTCAAGAATGGAAGCAATATAAATGCCCTTAGAGATCATCTAGTCTCACTCAGTCAAGGCTTTAAAAAGGAACTGAAGGCTCATGTTGGGGAAAAATCTAGCTAAAGTCACCCAGTATATTGTTTACAGTTAGGAGTTAAGCCTTATATCATCCCCGTTGTGCCCTCCAGCTTTCCTCACCTTGGTCCTTTTGCCTCCCTGCTTTGTGAATTCCTCTGGGAAAAGAGAGAGAGATACACCAATGAAGAAGAAACAGGCAGTGGAGTTTGCAGAGTGGCACTGAGATCCTTGAACTCATAACCACCAGGTAATAAAGAAGCTGCCAGGACCAGTATCAGGTCTGGAGCGTCTTCCAAAGTTAACAACGTCCAGATCCTATCAATTAAAATGCCAGGATGTGAGTATAAAATCTATGCCCTTCCTATTCCGGCAGTTAATCTGTGAGAAATAGCTGGTCTATATTAAATAGTGGCATGAAAATAGAAATATTCCAAGCTTACTGGGAATGTAAAACTTTCCCATGAGATTTTTCAGCAAGAAATAATAATCAGTGATTTTTCCCTCAATTCTGTTAGTTAAATACAAAAGGGTGACATCTCTCTCCAACTTGATATCTGGAAGTGACCACAAAGTTAACGATCTAAACTGTCCTTCCCACCCCCTCACTTCCCTATTTACCTTATCTACCTTAATCCATTCAGGACTGTAATTCTCAGCCAAAGCAGAAGCCATGGTCACTATATATTAGCAACATGGAAAGAATTAGACAAATTTATATTCTAATGTGGTCCAGCCCACCGACTAGCCAATTATGGCTTGGGTAAGTCTTTCTTTGAACTTTAGTTATCTTCTATAGAAATGGGGAAAAGAAGACTTACCTGGTAGGATTGTTGGAAATTGTTGAGCTTTCCAGACCCTCTTACATAGGAGTTCAAGTAGACTTTGGTTCAGTCCCTGATGCTGTGGATGGAAGCTAGCCAAGGAAGCTGATTAATGAGTTTGAGTTGCAGTGTCAGGAGAAAGAGGAACAGATTGGTAGCTTCCCTCTGTCATCATTACCTTCATTGCCTACTAGCTTCAGAAAGAAGGCCTAAATAACCTGGCATTATTTACAACCTCTTGGGTATCCTTGCTGATATCATTCACCTCAAAAAGACTGGAAACTTTATATACCATGTTGCCCAGCATTGATGGAAAGATTCAGAAGTTGAGCTGGAAGTAGATTGCTTCCATTTCCACTTTTGCTGTTCTA